ATGGATTTCTGAATTATTTTTATCATGGGGTTAAAAAACCCCAGCCCTATAGGAACTGTAAAAAAAGAAGAAAGCATTACTTGTATGTTGACTCATGTTTTTCTGTTTGTTTTTTTTTCAGAATTGACAGAAAAAAGGATAAAACAGAAAGAAAGATTTTGGACAGCCAGGAAAGAGCATTTTGGGATGTGCACAGGCCTGTGGTAAAGTTCTTTTTGAATGATGACACTTTCCAGGATTTGACAGGAAAGTTTTATTGCTAATAAACTCTTGGCCATGTGTTGCATAAAGACATTGCCTTTTAAGTTACCACGTGGATTTTCCTTGCATTTCAAAACACACAAAGTGTCTACAAGATTACTTTGGGCATTCAAAACTTGTGTATGCATGAAACTATAGAATTATATGATGAATGTGAAGTTTTGAAGGTTATTTACTGTGTATACTAAAGAAAAGCAGCTTACTCATTTTGACTCAAACTTCCTAGGAAAAGCACCTCTCTTAGCTGAGAGATACTTCCTTTTGGTGCCAAAAGTATGAGTAGATGGATTGGATGCTGACATTCCAACTTTGGATATATGCAGTCACTTGTTTAACAAGGATAATTTATGGGACACAGACTTCAGGAAAGAGTTTTGGACAAGATGTAATTGTGTATTTTGGAAAGGTAAGATGGTATGTAGATTGGAAACTGGACACCCAGAGATACGTGGGCCCTGATGGGGTGCACTCAGGAGTGCTGAGGGAGCTGGCAGATGTTATTGCTAAGCCACTCTCCATCATCTTTGAAAAGTCCTGGAGAACAGGAAAAGTGCCTGAGGACTGCAGAAAAGTCAGTATAACTCCAGTCTTCAGAAAGGGCAAGCAGGAAGATCCATGAAACTATAGGCCAGTCAGCCTCAGCTCCATCACTGGAAAGGTGATGGCACAGCTCATTCTGGATGTCATGTCTAAGCATGAGGAGTAAAAGATGGGTTTCAGGGAACATGGATCCACAAAGATAAAAAAATCATGCTTGACCAATCTGATAGCTTTCTATGATGGCATGACTGGCTGAGTAGATGAGAGGAGAGCAGTGGATGTTGTCTACCTTGACTTCAGAAGAGCTTTTGACACTGTCTCCCATAAAATCCTCACAGGTAAGCTTAGGAATTGTGGGTTAGATGAGTGGACAGTGAGGTGGATTAAGAACTGGCTGAACAGCAGAGCTCAGAGGGTTGTGGTCAGTGGTGCAGGATCTACTTGGAGGCCTGTAGCCAGCAGTGTTGCCCAGGGGTCAGTTCTAGATCCAGTTTTGTTCAACATATTCATCAGTGACCTGGACTGGGGGACAGAGTGTATCCTCAACAAGTTTGCTGGTGATACCAAACTGGGAGGGAGGGGTGATGACACTCCAGAGGGCTGTGGTGCCATCCAGCATGACCTGGACAGACTGGAGAGCTGGGCAGAGAAGAACCTAATGAGGTTCAACAAATGCAAGTGTAGGGTCCTGCACTTAGGAGGAGTAACGCCACGCACCAGTACAGGTTATGGGTTCTCTACTGCTCTGCTGAGAAGGACCTCCTTGTCCTGGTGGACAACAAGTTAACCATGAGCCAGCAGTGTGTCCATGTGGCCAAGAAGTCCAATGGTATCCTCAGGTGCATTAAGAAGAGTGTGGCCAACAGGTCTACCCTCTCTACCCTGCCCTAGTGTGGGTCCAGTTCTGGGATCCCCAGCTAAAGAAAAGCAAGGAAAGAGTCTAGTGGAGGGCTATGAAGATTATTAGGAAACCAGAGCATCTCTCTTAGGAGGAAAGGCTGAGAGACCTGGCTCTGTTTAGCCTGGAAAAGACTCAGAGGGGATCTTCTCAATACTTACAAATATCTAAAGAGTAGGTGTCAATAGGAAGGGACCAGATGCTTTTCATTAGTGCCCAGCCACAGGACAAGGGGCAACAACACAAGCTGGAACATAGGAAGTTCCATCTGAACATGAAGAAAATTATTTACTGTGAGGGTGGCAAAGCACTGGAACAGGCTGCCCAGAGAGGCTGTGGAGTCTCCTCTTCTCTGGAGATATTAAAAACCTGCCTGGTCACGATCCTGTGCAACTTGCTCCAGGTGAGCCATTCTGTGATTCTGTGAGTATATGATAATAAACAGAGCAGTAATATGATTTCGTTCTCTTTTCAGCCAGGCTGTGTGAACACCACAGAAATGGACATTAGAAAGTGTCGTCGCATGAAGAACCCACAGAAAGTGAAAAAGGTCAGTTTGAGTTTCTGGTTTTTGTTTGTTTTGTGGGTGGTTTTGTTGTTGGTTGTTGTTGTTTTTAATGCAAATCATGCCTGACACAGTATAACAAACTTATCCAATAGAAACAAAAAATGCATTTTGTGACTATCACTTCTGTTTTGTTCTAATTGGTGAATGCACCGTTCCTGTTTTCCCAGCAGAGCAGTACAGACTGGGTGATGGGCAGTGCTGAGAAGGGCATTAAGGAGCTCTGCACTCCCGTAAAATTAAAAGCAATTGTGAAAAGTACCTAGGTACTATTTTCAGAAATTATTTGGGCATGGATTTTTCAGAGCCGTTTACCACCTTAATAGTTTCAAAGACTGCATCATTAGCAACTTGGGTATCTTTGACTTCCTGCAAGTTTTAGCTCTTCTCTGTATATAGAATCATAGAGCCATTTGAGTTAGAAAAGATCATCAAGTCAAACTGTGCACCTAACACTGCCAAGTCCACCACTAAACCATGTGCCTAAGCACCACGTCTACATGTCTTTTAAATATCTCCAGGGATAGTGACTTGACCCCTTCCCTGGGCAGCCTGTCCCAGTGCTTGATAACCCTTTCAGTGAAAAAAAAAAATCTGATATCCAATCTAAACCTCCCCTAGTACAACTTGAGGCCATTTCCTCTTGTCTTATCACTTGTTGCCTGTTTTGGAGGAGCCACCAGACTCCTGAACTTCCATTGGTAGTTAAATTACAGAAGAGCTATTCACGTGACTCTTAAAATGTTAAATAAAAAGCAAAAGCACAAAATGAAAGGGTAACTGATACAACTTTTAGCTCAAGTCTCTGTTCTAAAAAAGAATAGCCACAAATCAGTCTGCAGGTTTTTTGTTTAGAGATGTTCACGTGAACTTCACCCACTGACACCTGTTTAAGCTCTTTCTTCAATGTGTAGTTTTACAAGAAATCAAACCAAGTGAAAAAAAAATTGCATAGGATTAGGTTCTAGCATTTTCTTTGCATAGTTCACCACAATGACCATTTTCCCAGTGTTCATCCTGCAAGTGCTGACCCACCCAGCCTTCAGAACTCCTAAAAATTACAAGCTTCATTTTAATATTTAAGATAAACTCTTTTCTCAATGTGCCTGCAGACCTTCTAAGCACAGACTTCTGCAAGCATGGTCTGATCTGTAAATTTTGCTCCAGGCTGAATGATTATTGACCTGTGTGGTTATAAACAGTAGGAAATTGCTAGCTTCTTACCTTTCTGCTTTGCATACTGCATTTTTCCTCATTGTGTAAGAGGGAAAAACACCGTAATCTCTTCTGTTTGTTTGTTGGCACCTCACAGTCAGTGTACGGGGTTACAGAGGAGTCTCAGCCCCAGAGTCCTGTACATGTGCCCTCCCAACCTGTACGCAAAACTACAAAAGAGGATTTCCGGAAACGAGTAAGTCCAGGGGTCAGTACTGGGACCAGTGCTGTTTAACATCTTTGTCAGCAACATGGACAGTGGGATTGAGTGCACCCTCAGCAAGTTTCCTGACAACACCAAGCTCTGAGGTGTGATCAACACACTGGAGGGGAGGGATGCCATCTAGAGGGACTTTGACAGGCTGGAGAGGTGTGCTCGTGCAAACTGTATTATGTTCAGTAAAGCCAAGTGCAAGGTCCTGCACCTGGGTCAGGCCAATCCCAAGCATAATTATAGGTTGGGTGGAGAATGGATTGAGAACAACCCTGAGAAGAAGGAAACCTAGGGAAGAAACTTGCATGCTGGGGCACAGGCTGGGGATGGACAGTGGCAGGTGGCACGAGCCAGAAGTTTTAGGGAAGAGCTGGGGGAAAATTGTTTACACAGTCACTCAAAGGAATGGCCACACATCCTTGCCCTCACACAAGGAGCTTTCCCTCAAAATAACTTCCCTGCACCAAGCTGCGCTCACTGAAGTACAGGCAGGACTAGGTCAGCATTTTAGTAGCTGGCTTTAAACATGTTTCTTAGGCAGCCAGTTTTAGGATGGTCTTCTGAACTAAACCTGAACACTGCATTTCTTGAGCTTTTCCATCATAGGCAACAGATGGCTGCAGAGTACCGTGAAGAACTACTTCATAGCAGAGTACACATATGCTGTAAAACCATTACCCATCTTGTGAGAGAAATAGAAGAGGGAAGTGTGGTTTAAAGAGGGGATTATATTGCACCTTGAGTAGTCTAGGAACCTTGTCCCCAAATATGTGCCTTTCCTTCTTTTAATTGTATCTTCTGAAGCTTTACGTGGGGCTTTGCCAAAGGAAATGAAACTTATATGAGAAGCAGTTAATAAGCTTCTTCTAATACCTAGGGAAGGGTCTCATTTCCTTCTGAGTTCCTTTCAAGCTGTTTGGAAAGAGAAATCAATAGAGTTTTGGGATATGATCAATGCATGCTGTAGAGCTCCTGGATTGTTAATGTCCTTGTCATCTCTCTCCTCAGATAGCTTTTCTGAACATGCAGATAGAGAGACATTGTTTAAAGATGTCCAAAGTAGCAGAAAGGTGAGTGTCCCTGTTTGCATGATTCCCCATTCTTTCCTCATTTCCAGTTTGGCATTTTCA